AAATATCGGAAAGAAATGAAGATAACATATTAATTAGTGGTATAAATCCCACATTATCTCTTATCGCAGTAAAATCTTTCGAATAATAAAAGAGCTGTTAGAGTAAAATATTGAATGATTTTAATTCGTCTAAATATATATCGTTCGATATTTCTTCTATAGAGATCTAATTAACTATAATCGTCGTAGTAGATTCTTCTCTTATAACGTTATTATAGTAATATATTATATTAATATAATAAGAATAATAGACTAAGTTATAGTGGTGTTCTTCGCTTACTAAGTAATAATTTAATATAGAACCGTGGAGAGTATGTGACGTGGGATCTTAAAGAGCTGAGCCGTGTTTTTGACGATGGTGGCCTTATTACGGCTTGGTTTCTCCGTAGTATTCTCCGCATTTACCTATTGTAGTTCCTCTTCTTACTTCTTCTCTTATAGAGTATTAGATTAAATAACTAGCTAAGTAGCTAACTAAGTAAATAACTAATATAATGTGAGATCTTGAAGAGCTAAGCCGTATTCTTAACGATGATGGTCTTATTACCGCTTAGTTTCTCCGTAGTATTCTCCGCATTTACCTATTATAATTTCTTCTTTTACTTTTTTTCTTATAAAGTATTAGACTAAGTGGCTAGCTAAGTAACTAACTGAGTGGATAATTAATATAACGTGGGATCTTAGAGAGCTAAGCCGTATTCTTGACGATAATAGCCTTATTGCCGCTTGATTTCTCCGCAGTATTCTCCGTATTCGCCTATTATAGATCCTTCTCTTATTTAACTAAGTGCGAGGATATCGAGGGTAAATATATTTATATAGGTGGAATTAATAGAATTAATAGAGTGGTAAAAGAATAATAGTTATATAAATATCTGGAAGGATTATTATTCGATCCCGAACGCGTTTAATATAACTATTATATTTGAATATTAGTTTAACTCATTAATAGTAAGCTAAACTTTATAATTTTTACATCGTTAGAAAGCGTAAACTAATCTCTATAATTTACGAAATTATAAAATAATAGTATTCTTAGAGAGCTCGTTATTTTAGAGTGTAAGACTTCTATATATAGATTTTTAATAATTACGAACGCTAATTTATTTACCCGCGGTGTCTAATCAAAAAGCGTAGACCTAATAAATTGATAATTGGCTACATATATAAATTCAAGGTTTTCTAATTCAGCTCTATCTTATTCTTTTATATATACTAATAGTAAATATATCGATATCTAAAATATATTCTCGCTTAGTTATTTTATATAAGAGATATATATAATAATATTTAGATAGGTGAATACGGTGAATAGATTATTTCTTTATTTTTACTATATCTAAATAAGTAATTATACTAAGATCTAATTAGATAATCGAGCTTTTAGATTAGTAATTTAAATTATAAATTAGTAATTTAAAAGCTCGATTAAGTTTTAGACTACGCATTACCCTATATGGTCAGTTGGTGGCGTTATTACCCTTTTTGGTTTTAAATCAGTCTTTTAAATCAGTTGCTAAACCTCCCTATTGACGCCACGCGAGATCCTAGGCCAACATTTACAGCACAACCACTCAAAACTTCCGTTCTCCCCCGTCCGATAGGCTCAGAACTCAATTAACAAGTCGTTCTGTCTCTGTCCTTTCAGCTTCCATCAAAGATCGATGACCGGCATGAGCAGTCACTGATAGCGGGTTCGGACTCTCAAACTCTCATCCATCTGCGCATCCAGAGACACTTCTGCAACGCATAGAGTGATGGTACTCCAGTAAGAAGGTGGCAGCACGATCTCAGTGAGGCATCTGTCCCTTTCAGCGCAAGCTTTACCAACATCTCGAAACAGTCATCGCCATTATCCTTCGCGAAGAGATCGATTAATGCACACTCCGTGCAGCCCAAGGCATGCCAAGCCCGCTCTATGCTGTGCTACCCATCGACCGAAGCCTGCTTTGCTGGACATGAAAAGCCCATGCTGAGCGTTTCCGGCATGGTGGGGCCCAAACGACCAGGTCGATATTTTCCTTTGCCTTGTATGTGTCTGCAGTGATCATCGCCTGCACAGTATCCGGAGCGCAGGGCCGGCTCTGCCCTCCAAATAAATATTCTATCGTCCTTATGATCATCTGAGCTCTCATGCAAACCACAGAGCCCAAGATTGTCTCCAGGGGAGAAAGCGATAGTCGGCGCACTCGCAGTATCTCCACGCGTCAAGGCGCCCGATAGTCCGGACTACTAGTCCTGACGGCCGGACTAGTCTAAATTGAAGCTATACAAATTGTCTATAGTTCGTTTAAAGCCTGGACTAGTCTAGATAATTTAGACTAGTTTCGAACTATTAGTCTACTTATATAAAGACTCTTCTAAAGCTTTTATTATATTATCTTCTTTTAAAGTATTAATAATAGTATATAGATCTATCTTCGTAAAGATATCTAATTAAAATTATAATTTCAAATACTCTAATAGCTTAATAGTCTCTATTTTAGAATTATTTTTTTAATTTAATATCGTATACTTAGCTCTAGAAAATATATATTTTAACTTTAAGAATATAGTAGAAATTAAGTAAATATTAATGATTATCTTTAATAGTAGAGAATATTAAGTATATTATTAAGGTTCTAATTATTAATCGAATATTATTATTATATTATTGACGAATATAAAAAGATCGCGAATATATAGATCGAGTTTGTTATTGACTATAATTTTCTATTTTTTATTTCTATTCTTTTACTATAAGTTCTTATTTATAATCTCTTTATTAAACTTATTAGAGAAATATCTTATTAGATTAATAGAGAATTGATATTTAGTCTTCTAAAACTTCTTTATTATAGCCTTTATATTTAATTATTATTTAGAATTTTAATTATTAAAATAGCTTTATTTAATTATAGAATTAAGAATAATAGTCGCGATATATATTAATAATCTTTTCGTTTTATTCTAATACTTTAATAGCTTAATAAATTTAATTTAAAGAGATTTATATATAAATTTATAATTAGCGAATTACTTTATAACGTTTTTAAATATATTAGTTAAAAAGTTTATAATAGAAAGAACTTCTTTTAGAGTAACTTAATAATCTTTCGTTATCTTAATAGCGTTATAAAAATTATATAGAAAATTACGAATATAAATAAGCGTTTTCCACTCTTTAATAGTTAGTAGATTCTTTTAAAGATTAGTTTTCTTATTAATAATAGTTATAATAATAGTCTTAATTTTTTCGATAGCCTAATTAAGTATTAAGTATTAAGAGTTTTATTATATTTTATTATTATATCGTAATATAAGATCTTTAATTCGATTTTTAAAGAATTATATTCGCTAAGAACTTTCTATAATTCAAATAATAATATTATATAATTTATCGAAAGATTTTAATTTACGCTATTACTTTAACTAGATATCGAAAGAAGATATAATCTTATTCTTTAAGTACTTATAATTATTAATTATTTTTTTAAAGAGAAAGTTTTAAATTACTAGATTAATTATATAGTTATTATATTAAAGATAATATTACTTAGTATTATAGAAGACTCTCTTTTTATTTAACGAAGTAGTAATAGTAGCGATAAGAGTATTATTATTATAAGCGTTATTTATAATAAAATATCTTAATTTATTATAAATCTTATAGTTATTAAGTATATTAAGGATAATTATAATTTAATTTAAGTTTAAATATTTTCTTTATAGCTCTTAAAGGGCGAGAGTAATAGTGTGTAACTTCGATTTTTTATTTATAAAATATACTATTATAGCTAATAGTTTAAGATGATTTAATAATATCTATATATTATATATAATATAAATATTTAAAAGAGCTATAGCTAGTATATATCGTAATCGCTTTTTTTTTTCTTAAAAAAATCTTTTATATATATCTTAATAATAGAATTAGATTTTAAAAGTATTCGATTAATAACGAGATTAACGTATTTAAGAAATATTCGAAATTCTATATTTCTAACTTATTTAAAAGGAAGATTTGAAGTTATAGTCTATTAAAGATATAGATATTTTAGAGTATTCTTATCTAGATTAATATCTATTAACTTCGCTCTTCTTTTCTCTTTTAGTTATATATTAACTTTTACTCTATAAAGTATAGCTATATTATTATCTATTTTATCTTATATTCTCTTTTTAGCTATTATATTAATTATAGAATTAATAAAGTAATTTTTCTTTAAATGCTAAGAGATAGCTTTTAAGTTATTACTATAATTATAGATCTTTAAGTATTAATTATAGACGAATTTATTATCGCGTATAATTCTATATTTATAAATTATAGAGGTTTTAGTTTTTTATCTCTTATTAGATATCTCTAATATCTAAGAGATATTAGACTTCGAGTTTAGTATTTATAGTAAATCTAATATAAAATTCTCGAATTCGAAGAATATAAAGGTATTTTCTCTATTATTAAGTCTTTTTATAGATTTAATAAATATCTTATTAAGTATTAAATAATTATTTAAGATCTAAGAAATAGATCGTTTCTTTAGCTTAATCTTAGAAATTATTAATCTTTAAGAGTCGATATTTCGTATACGCTTAATAATCTTATTATTAAAGGTTACGAACTTTATAGTAATATTAAATAGATTAATAGTAATAGTAAGAGTCTTTAATAGCTCGAAATCGCTATTATTATATATTATAATAATATATATATTAAATAAAGAATAACTGTTTATATGACGTGTCTTAGAGAAAAAATCTAGTCTTTAATTACTATTAAAAATACGTCTATTAGACTTAAAAATATACGCTTATAAATTAATTATTAAACTATTAAGACTAATAATCCTAGATTAATTTATTAAATACCTGGACTAATCTAGGATTATTAATAAAATCATTGGATTAATCTGAACTATTGGTTTAGTAGACTAGTCCAGACTAATAGTCCGATAAATAGTCCAGGACTATCGGGCGCCTTGCCACGCGTCCGCCACTCTGGGCGACGTCGTCTTCGTTCACAATCCATACTCCTCGACATGAAGATGGATACCCTGCGCACCGGTACCTTTATGAACTGCCCGTTCATCTGATAACGTAGCTACACAATTTCGTACCGTGGAGGTCAGGCCCTTGCCCCCACAGACTATAACGGAGGTTTCTCCTGCCGACGCCTCAACGGGTTTGCGCACAAAGCTCGCAAGACTTGGTCTCCCGAATGTATACTGGACTGAGCTGCCTTTCTCAGGACTACGATCGTGGTGTCCTTTGTTAACTCTGATCCCCACACTATGCTCCTCTCCTTCTATCGAGCCTTCGATTTTGGAATCAACAACGACCTTGTCGAAGCTAAAGGACGATCGTTCTGTCTTCGTTTGCATCAGAGTCTTAGCAAGCGTGTCGAAAGAGCTGAAATTCGACGGATTGCCGATTTTCAATGCAGCGTCGTCTTCACAGGCTGGATCCTCCTCATTGCTTGTGACGGCAACCATGATATGCAACGAAACCTTCGGATTAGAAGCTGCAGCGAGCAGCCGTGAAACGTAGCCGTCGATGTGCGATTTATACCTAATCAATAAAAGGCAGTCAATCCTCCTTACGCAGCAAGGGTCTTTGAGGACAGTGTCAAGAATTGGGAGGGTAAATGAGGCACCGGTGGATGCGGAGATGAGAACGAGAGTCTCATAAGTGTTCCAAGTTGGAAGGTTGCCGAAGGGACCTGTCAGGAAGGCTGTCACCGCAGCTGAGGAGGTGGCCTGGGAGGAAACAGCCCGTCGGAATAGCTTTCGTGTGAAACCAGAGCGAGCGCGTATGATCAATTGCACTTTGTTGGGGCTCTTCTCGCGATTTCCTCCATCCGGGATGTTTGCGATTGTGAAAGGGTGCGATTCCAGAGGTCCTAAGGTTGGGCACCACAAGAGCACGTGCTGCCCAGCCTTCCAAGAAAACCCAACATCATGGACAGTCAGCACTGTGATTTCTCCAGCCAAAGCCTGTATTTCCGCGGAGTGGCCTAGTCGCTTGCCTGCAATCAAGCCGAACGTCTTTTTCCGAATGGCAATGTTACGGCAGAGCAAGATACAGAATTGGTACACTCGACCAGAAAGTGCGAAAGCCACTGCCATCCAGACGTTATATGATGCATACGCAGGCACGTGGCTATGCAATAGCCACAGGAAAACGCCGGCTGAGAGGATATGCTGAAGCACAAAGAATTCGTAGCACAGACGCCGGAGAGGGATGAGAGAGCTGATCGTAGTCCAGGCCAATACTGCCCAAAGTCCAAAGCCGTACTTGACCATCGGCATCATCGCCAATTCAATGCGAACGAAATCCGCCCGCACCCATTCACTTAAGAAAAATGAGCCGTGGATTGTGACCGTCACAAAAAGGGTTCTAGACACCCATCTATGCAGCCAATTCATATCGACATAAGATGATCCGAGAAGGTAGCTGGCAATGTTGACTTTGCCAGCCAGGAGAAAGATAAAAGGGACCTGTGTGACAGACACCCATGCCGCTCTAAATCCCACACGCTCCCAATAATATGCATCGTGGATAATAGACCCTGTTGTCAGGAACAAGGCAATGATGATCCAGTATGTAAGTATGACCAGCGACGGCCCTAGAGGCGGAGGAGTCAACCACGCGCAGCCCGGCCGGATGAAGTGGACCACTTGAGGATAAGACACTTCTCTGAAGATTGCGACTGATGTGGCATATGCTCGGGACGCCAAATCCCGAGGTCTCGTAGGATGAGAAAGGGAAAGCGCACGCGATGACCGTTTACTTGAAAAGAGCACAATCAGCATCGTTTCCCAAGGCTGCGGCTTAAGGGCCCGAGATCGCAGGCCGTCAGGTAAGGCAGGATACTGACCGTGACCAAGACTCGAAGGCTCCAAGACCTTTGAGGAACAATGCAGACGCGAAGAAGGCGGCGACGAGGTACCAGTACATGCGAGCCAGCATCTGGTTAAGCGGCCGAAACATGCCATCTGAGCCCATATCCATCCCCGTGCCCTCCATACCAGACATGCTATCAAGATTAGCCATGGAGGATGAGTCCATGTTCTCTTTCTCAATTCTTGAGCCGAGTCGTTTGCTTAGAATCTAAACTGTGGAAGACGCTGACGGCAAAAGGTGAAATAGGTAGCAGCTAATCGTATGGGAACACGCTTAAGTGTAGCGTGTTCCCATACGATTATTCTACGTCAGATGGTGCTTTGATGAAATTTGCCACATGGCGACACTCTTTGCTGAGTGAGGGACCGAAAGGGTCCGATCATCTCTCGTCTCGTTCAACTGCACATCGGCAGCAAGTGATAAAATACTAAAGTGGTATCATAACGGTCGGTTTACGGATATATCTTTCGGACCGTTTACACTAGCTTCATGTCGACGCCCTGCAGAAACTTGCTCAAACCCACGCAAATAATCCGCAAAGTCTCCGTCACTTCCCAGAGCACGTTTCAATGCAACGTGGGTATCTAGTGCATGTTCACAGGGTCCAAGGGAACACGCGACCGAGGCAGACCGATCTCCGGTACGCTACCAAAGCCACGGTATAGGTTGCCATATCCGCCCTGATGCTCATATTATTTATTCTCCGGCTTGTCTATCGGCCAATAAGCAATAAGACGGCATTGCTTTCGATCGTCCATTGCTCACCGGCTTTGAATGGCATCCAACGTCGATGACATCTTTTACCGCCCCTCTTCCCGAAAACCTTCTCAAACCCTCTCACATCTGACCATTGAAGGATGACAAACCAGTCTCCTCTGCTGCTTCATCGTGCTCGGCCGAGACGTTACTTTATAGATCAGATACATGCAATCGCCATCAATGTCATGCCGTCCTCTGGGCATCGGCCTCGTTCGCCGCATGTTTCTGCTATTCGTTTGGGGACCCATGCTGACTACGTCTCCTTCTCCACATACGCTCCTAGTGCTCCAGCAAAACATCTCTGATGAAATGAATATTTTCCATCTTGATGCACCTGTGTTGTCTATCAATTCTCACGTCTCCAATATCACTCACTTCATCACACCGACATGATGGATATGTCCTCTTCGTCTTCCGCATCCATGCCCATGCCCTCCTCAAGTTCCATTACAGCCACGATGTCTATGTCCACCATGCAAATGGTCTTTTACACCTCTACCACTACACCGCTCTATTCCACCTCTTGGACACCCTCAACCACGGGGCAGTACGCTGGCACCTGTATCTTCCTAATAGTTCTCGCCACCTTTTTTAGAGCCTTGTTCGCGTTACGGGCGGTCCAAGAGCGGAGATGGCAGCAGATGGAGTCAAGGCGCCGGTACATCATTGCGGGCGCAGATGAGAAAGAGAATGACAGTAGGTCGAGCGCGGATGGGTCGAAGATGAGCGTGTCCAGCGAGCAAAGTAACGAGGGGAGCATGGCTGTCTTGAAGGGGAATGTTTCGGCCGTCCGGCCGTGGAGAACAACGCAAGATGTGCCGCGAGCGTGCTTGGATGTGGTAATTGCTGGGGTTGGGTATCTATTGTAGGTTTCATTTCGGCTCTCTTTTCACCTTGATATTACTGACTATGATTCAGAATGGTGGCAGTCATGAGTCTGAACGTAGGGTACTATATGTCTGTTCTTGGTGGCACATTTCTCGGCAATCTGCTTGCTGGCCGTTTTTCAGCCGCGCCTACAAGCCACTAAAGCCTGAGCCGCGAGGTCGAAGCCGAGAGTATTTGACACTCAAGTATCCATGCGAACACTCCGGATTCACGTGTCATTTTCAACGCCTCAACGGTAACCCTGTCTTACCCCAACGACAACTCATCACCTTAAGCGTTTCGAAATAGGCAGCGAATGATTTTTGAGCAAGGGCAAGAGAAAATAATGACCGAGAGATGGCGCTCTCATTGACAAAAAAAACAACACTAGTAATGTAATGAGGAGACAATTGTGACATACCTTTCGAGCGTCTCCGACATTTCGGACATCTTTGTGATGTTGTCGCGCTTGACTCCAAAGGCAAGCACGACAACGTCAACATCAACAAAGAAATCACCAGCCAGAGCTGTTTGCCTTTTTTCCTGCTCTTAGCCGATTGATTGCTAGCTTTATAGAAAAACAATGGAGCAGCTTCACCATGATCTGGCCACAGATCACAAAGTCATCATACAATGTCTTCGGTCTAGCGTGAGCAGGTTTGCGCATATACCCCGTTACATGGCCGGTAACTTGAACGGATCAGCGGTAAAACTCGCAAACTTGATCAACTAATGTGTTACATACATGTACCGTGTTTTGATAATCAGAGCGCCTGTGTGGCTGCGTGGTCCAAGAACGATGCCATCATGAACAAATATTGGAACAACGCTCGCGAAACAACCGTTTCTTTGGGAGCTGGTATTGGGCTTGCCGAAAACCAGCACTGGCATCTTAGAATACCCTTGCCAATCCAACCATTTATCACCTTCCTTCATTTGGAGCTCAACAGCACTGCCATTACTAGCCACACCCTTTAGTCTATCTTACTCTTTGTCTTTACTCATCATACACCCTTCCCTTCAAGAAATGTGGTCTTTTTGAAATTCTAAAATCACGAAAGTTCCATTCTCAGACTTTAATTATCAAGACGTTTTGAGCAAATCAATTCAAAAATATCTTACCTAATAAGAGGTATAACTTGATCTTGGCATCCTAGATTATTCGGTCTTCTCTCTTCCCTTTGGCTAGATCAAGCACGTTTGTTTCTTTCTCTGCACCTTCTAGTCGACACGGCGACCTCACAGCAGCGAATCCAGCAGTGGTGGATCCTGCATCAATGCTTCACACCATTCAAATCAAAGATACACCTAACGGCCAGAATGAATCAGAGCTAGGGAAGAGGCTAAACCTGGCCGTTGGAGGCAGTGGAGTAATCGGACGCTTGTTGTCGGTTGTAGCTGGGGGGGGGAGATTGGAAACGTGGTCATTGGGTGGGACTCGGCGGGTGTACTCGGACTGACTGGAGTTGGTTGGGTCATACTGTGCGAATAGTGAGGCATGAGAGGCGGTTGTCCAAGCCTTCGGACTGTAAACACTCCTAGAGAATAAGACGCAAACTCTTTATTGATGGAAAGCAGTTGACGTGTATCCTACCGCATCTTCTGCTGTTATCTCCTGGTTAGTCGTGGTGGTTTCATGGCTAAGATTACATGCGTATTGTAAAGCATGTTCTGCTCTTGTTCCCCTTTCATTCCGAATATCACATTATGAGTTTTCTGCCATATAAACGCCATCGACCAACTCACGCGCAGCACGCGGCGTTCTCAGACGAAGTACTTGTCAAAGCAATCGTGGTCAGCAGAGTGCTCGGCTTGAAAAGAGGATTCTTACATGCTTGCAGCGCCCGATGCATCCCAGGAGAAGATGAAAAAGCCAATAAATGCTCCTATGAAAACGCAGACGAGTATGTATCCGTTGTAATACATGGCCAAGAGCATGATCAAGTACGCAACGGAAAACTGCAGCGTGTAGATGCCCGCGCGAATGGCTTGCTGGAGCACGCTTGGGACATGACCAGGTGCTCTCAGCGGTAAAGATCTTTCCCATTCCCCCAGTAAAGGAACAGCCGAATGAGGAGGATCTTCCATGTTGCTGATGTCATTGCTGTCGGCACTACCCTTCCTGTCGGACTTGGAGGTATTGAAAGCACGACCTGCCTCGTAGTCATACGTGGCGTGTTGCTGGATCAGCCGGTCGTATTCGCGCTGCAAGCGGCGCGAGAATTCGAGAAGAAGCACAAGGCCGATGACGCAGATGCATGAGCCGACAAACATGCCTCTTGAGGTTATGTGCCATGTCGTCGATAGGAAGCACGCGTCGAGGGTATACCAGTTCCAGAACATCTATAATAAAATGTAAGTTACGTAAATGAGTATTGGAAAGTCGTGGGCAAAGGACGATACGTACTGAAGATTTGCAATTCACCGAGCTACCCATGTCCATACCGGGCATACCTGGCATGCTCATTTCAGGTGCCCCAGTGGCGGAGCTGGGTATTGGGATACCTGGTGTTTTTGTTACCATGGCCGAACCCATTGAAGTTGTCATCATGTCCATTGCGAGTATGATGGTTCTGTATGTAGGCTGACTTCAGGGAAGCTGTCAGAGGCTCATAACATGTAGCGTAGCCTTGGCGGGAGACGTGGCGATAATTTGCCAGGTAAGCGAAGTGAAGGTGCCAGAAGATGCTTTAAGCAAACGAAATCATGAATGCTGAAGCAGCCAGTCTTCTCACATGAGTGTCTCAGGCACGCTTTCAAATGGAGCTGAGTTGGGGGCGTCGGCACTATCGTTGAGTTTACATCCTTCTAAGTCGAGAAGGGTGGGCCAAAGACGCTTACGCAGGTCTGCAGGGTATGAATCACGGTTCGATCGTTTGTCTTGCTCGTTACAAGGCCATGTCACAACGTGTTTCACTGTAGGGTTGTTTGTCGTTGCATTACCGATCCTTGTAGCAGAAAGTTCGTGTGCGCAATTTTGAGCAAGTATTCGGTGAATCCGGAAAAATACACCGGCGAGCATGTGCGAGAGATGCAACGTGTGTATCTGGAAAAAAATCAAGTTGATTCAGTCTTCTCCGACAAGCAAAGATCTTCATCTAACTGTGGACTTTTTCATGGCACGCCTGTTATTGATTGATAGTAACAGTAGTATCTTGGTCCGTTTTCCTTATTGCTGTTGATCAGAAACACCAGTCACAGCGTTCTAACATCTTTGATGGCCAGATACTCTTTCCTGTGTAAGAAGGCCCCTTCTCTGGATCTTTTCGATTACACTTCTTTCTCAGCAATGTTCGTCCGATAACGCCAGGTCATCAGAACAATGACATCAGCGGCTCATGTCATGTCAATGGCCTCAGGCGCCTCTTTACAGGCCTGGCCCACGAGAAGCAGAACCTTTTCCATCGCTGGGTCAGTTGTTCGGTGTTCGGGCTCATTTGCCTCATACTGTGCCCTTCATAGTCGCGCCTCGGCATTATGGAGGATACCCGGCTCTGCACAAGCGATACTACAACCCTGAGGGTCCCGAGGTCAATTGACACCCCATCTTCCTTATACGTGGTTGTGTCTATCCAGATAGTAGACGAGTGTACCAGCGTTGGCGATTTTCTTCGGGATTTTTGTCCCTTTCCTGCCACACATCCGTCACCGATTGTATAAGACATTTTACGACTCGCATTTTTTCCTTGCTGTAACCTACGTCGGGCTTTGCTTTTGGCATCTTTGTCATTAGGGCCGTTCGTGGGCGTATCTTTGGGCAAACATTGGCGTGGTGGTTATTGTCAATCTTCGGACGTGTGTCCTAGCACAACCAGTCTTCCAGAATTAAGGGTTGATGTCCTGGTTCCTCAACGTTTTCCTGGAGATTCGGCTAACACGGCTCCCTCCGTTCCTCGTCGCCCTCTGTCTTTCTGTCTTTTACACCCATGCTTTCTCTATCGCTTCCAGTCCCCAGTCGGCAAGCGATCGACATAGTCAGAATACCTCAGAGGTGCAAACAGTTAGCTTTTTCGTGCGCTCACATGCAGGATTCACACGCAAGCTCTCATGCTATACAAGCAATAACAATAATAGCCTATACACTTGTAGATAGACGGCCCGAACTGTGGAAACGGTCGTCGCATAGAGAATGAGTACGACACAATCGTTCTTGTTGCTGGGGGCACCGGGAGTACACGCTGGCCCCCGGTACTACAGCACATTTGGCTGGAGATGAAGGAGTATACTACTCGCACGGCAAATTTTAAGCTGCTTTGGGTAATGCGAGACACAGCGTCCCTAGGATGGGTGTCACAGAAGCTAGGGGAAATGTCGCATTTGGCCACTGGAGGGACAGTCATGACGGAATTCTTCGTCACAGGTCAGCCTCAGCCGGAGGAAAGGTTGCCTCTAGGAATATATAAAGGAAAAGCTGAAGCTGGCGATAGATAGGATCCTGGAAAGAAATCATGAGGGAGCTGCACGACCAGTAGTTCGGGCCCGGGCGAATTACAAATTCATACCGAATTAATTGATATATAAAGCTCTAGCTTTATATGGTGTTAAAGGTTTTTTTTACTAATAGAATCATATTTTATATGCAAAACAGCCTTATATGTCAATAGTTCGCAACAGTGGGACTGTGGGTTAGTGGGTTCATTATGAGGCCATAGCAGTGGTGGCTGTTTGATCAGTCGTTCTATTATTATACGATATGCATGCGATATATGATATGCGATAGTAGGGAGATAGGTGGATATAGCGAGTACTATTTATATGGCTACTATATTAGTAGTAGACTCTTTATTTAAATTATTCTCTTTTAGAGTTATATTATTATTCTTCTTTTATAATTAAGTCTATATATATTAATCTTTATTTAACTATTATAAGTATTATTCAACTATTAAAAATATATTCTATACTCTTATATACTTTATAATGGCTCTCGCTATTACTATTAAATCTAAAAAAGCGGTTAAATAAGCTATATCCGCCTTTAAAGTTATTAAAAAGACTTTTAACGCGATTAATAAGGTCTTTAAAGCTAAGAAGGCTATTAAGACTAAAATATCTTTCTCTCGCGAGGAGATCCTTATACGCGAAACGCCATTAAGAATTATTAATTTAGACGAGATTAAGAAAATACTTTCGCTTATTATTAAAGTAGATCTTTAAGAGTTAATAGCTTAGCTATTTAAGGTTTAAGAGAAGCGAAATTATTACTAGCGTTATAAGAATTAGATTTATAAGCTACGCCGCTATTATCGTTATTATTATAATTATAAATATCGTTATTATTACTTAAATATATCGAATTCGAATTTATTTAACTTTAAGTTAGACTAGAAGAAAAGAAGAAGAGTTTTCTTTTATTACTCTAAAGGTAAAAAGCCCTTTTTTAATATTACTAAAAGATTCTAAAGTATAAATATTAAGTACTTTAAGTAAATCTTCTTCGAGATTTTTAAGATTAAAAACTTCGCTAGATTAATCTATATATATATTACTCTAATTAAGAAGAATAAGAATATTAATAGCTATAACTATATAATATATTATTTTTATATATACTCGATAGTCGTTAGTCGCTTTATATATATAGATATAAAGAAAAACTTAAATAAAACTCTTTATACGTATATTATTCGCTTATTACAACTATTTATTATCTATAAATTTAACTTTATCCTCGTTTACTACCTCGCTTTTATTACTATATATATTTAAAATAATTAAAATAACTTTAAGACTTAAAAAGCGAATAATTAGAGTTATAAAGATCTTCTTATATTTAGAGAGACTTATATAAGTAATAATAAGCTAAATATCGATACGCCTAGCCCTAATAAGCCTATTATAGTTAAAGGAAATAGAATTTATAAGAGTTTTAATAGAGGTAACTATATTTGTAAGCGCTACGTCTATATATATATCTATATAATTTATTAATAAAATCACTTAATAGATAAATATTCTAAGACTTAAAACTTAGCTATAAATAACTTTAATTAATTATTATTAAATAATTATATTTTTAAGATAGAATAACTTTTAGAGTATTCATAGGTGTCTTAGTCGCTATAATATATATCTAAGAAGTTTTTATACGCGCTATACAATTTACTAAACTCAGATTTATTCTATTAAAGATCGTTAATAATTAATAACTAATTTAAATAATTAAATAATTACTTAAATCTAATATTTATTAGAATTATTTCGACTATTCTTCAAAAGGGCGTTAAGATAGATTTTCGAGATTATATTCTAATTTATTATAATTAAAATTATCTATTAATATATTAAGCACTCTAAATACTATTAATAAATCTTTAAAAATAGCTTTAATAGTATTATCTAATCGAGGTTAACTCTTAAAACGAGCTTTAATATATCTATTCGTCGCTCGATTTAATATTAAAATACGATAGAGATTAAAGACGAATTTACGATCTCTTATTTTTATATAGTTATTTAATTAATAATAGTATTTAGGCGAAGTAGGGTATATTAGAATATATTATATATAATAATATAATAAAAGTACTATTATAGAAAGACTTAATAGTCTAATTCGTTAAAAGAGATCTTAAAGATATCTTTAGATATATATTTATCGCTATATCTAATTAATAACTATTTAATTTTAATTATAATAAATGCTATTAAAAAGAATAATATCTACTATTTAAACTACGTATATTATTATTTCTATTTAATCTCTTTATAAAGATCTTTATTTAAATTTTAATCGCGATTTTTTTATAGAAAGTAGTACTCTACTATTTAGACGATTTCTTCGTAATTCTTTTACTAAATAATAATATAATTATATGTATTTAGTAGTTCGATTAGCTATATAGCGAATTAGATCTTTAAATTAATTATATAAAGAACGTTATAGATTTTATAGTCGAGTTTCTAGAAATTAAATTCGATAATATTTATATAAAGATGAGACTTTCTTTGGATAAGCTAGCTAAAATAAGAATTATGATTAAAAACCTTCTAAAAAAAGGTAATTATCTTATATTAGGAGCTCGAGTTAGCGATTAACTTTATCTTTTTTACTATTAAAATTATAATTTTAGAAAGAGTATTCTTAAGATAACTTTTTAATATTCTTCGAAGGTCTATGATAATTATATAAATTATAGGTAATATAAGAGTAGACTTATTATAGTGGGATATCTTTCTAAAGTACTAAAATAGCGTTATCTTAATACGCTATATTAATAGTCGAGTTATGTAATATATATAAATTAATATATCTGAAAAATTCGATATAAGAGGTTATATTTTAGACTATCTCGATTATATCTAATTAATTTAACTTAAAAACGTTTTTAGCATTAAAATAGCCATACGTTACTATTTTAAAGATATATAATTTAAAGAAATAAAGGTCGTTTATTACGCGATAAAGCTATAATTATCTTAATTATAAGAATCTTACTTAGTTCTCTACTATAATAATGACGTATATATTAATAAATTATATAAATCCTTTATATACGAGCTAGTTATAATCTTATTACGCGATATAGCTATACTAATAGCTACTTATAATATTAT